CATAGTATGGCAAGGTATGAAGACGTCAGGAAATAATAAGGCCCTAAAGCAATAAAAACGACATAGTATGATAAAGCATAAAACCATCAGAAAAGGTCATAGTATGGCAAGGTATGAAGACGTCAGGAAATAATAAGGCCCTAAAGCAATAAAAACGACATAGTATGATAAAGCATAAAACCATCAGAAAAGGTCATAGTATGGCAAGGTATGAAGACGTCAGGAAATAATAAGGCCCTAAAGCAATAAAAACGACATAGTATGATAAAGCATAAAACCATCAGAAAAGGTCATAGTATGGCAAGGTATGAAGACGTCAGGAAATAATAAGGCCCTAAAGCAATAAAAACGACATAGTATGATAAAGCATAAAACCATCAGAAAAGGTCATAGTATGGCAAGGTATGAAGACGTCAGGAAATAATAAGGCCCTAAAGCAATAAAAACGACATAGTATGATAAAGCATAAAACCATCAGAAAAGGTCATAGTATGGCAAGGTATGAAGACGTCAGGAAATAATAAGGCCCTAAAGCAATAAAAACGACATAGTATGATAAAGCATAAAACCATCAGAAAAGGTCATAGTATGGCAAGGTATGAAGACGTCAGGAAATAATAAGGCCCTAAAGCAATAAAAACGACATAGTATGATAAAGCATAAAACCATCAGAAAAGGTCATAGTATGGCAAGGTATGAAGACGTCAGGAAATAATAAGGCCCTAAAGCAATAAAAACGACATAGTATGATAAAGCATAAAACCATCAGAAAAGGTCATAGTATGGCAAGGTATGAAGACGTCAGGAAATAATAAGGCCCTAAAGCAATAAAAACGACATAGTATGATAAAGCATAAAACCATCAGAAAAGGTCATAGTATGGCAAGGTATGAAGACGTCAGGAAATAATAAGGCCCTAAAGCAATAAAAACGACATAGTATGATAAAGCATAAAACCATCAGAAAAGGTCATAGTATGGCAAGGTATGAAGACGTCAGGAAATAATAAGGCCCTAAAGCAATAAAAACGACATAGTATGATAAAGCATAAAACCATCAGAAAAGGTCATAGTATGGCAAGGTATGAAGACGTCAGGAAATAATAAGGCCCTAAAGCAATAAAAACGACATAGTATGATAAAGCATAAAACCATCAGAAAAGGTCATAGTATGGCAAGGTATGAAGACGTCAGGAAATAATAAGGCCCTAAAGCAATAAAAACGACATAGTATGATAAAGCATAAAACCATCAGAAAAGGTCATAGTATGGCAAGGTATGAAGACGTCAGGAAATAATAAGGCCCTAAAGCAATAAAAACGACATAGTATGATAAAGCATAAAACCATCAGAAAAGGTCATAGTATGGCAAGGTATGAAGACGTCAGGAAATAATAAGGCCCTAAAGCAATAAAAACGACATAGTATGATAAAGCATAAAACCATCAGAAAAGGTCATAGTATGGCAAGGTATGAAGACGTCAGGAAATAATAAGGCCCTAAAGCAATAAAAACGACATAGTATGATAAAGCATAAAACCATCAGAAAAGGTCATAGTATGGCAAGGTATGAAGACGTCAGGAAATAATAAGGCCCTAAAGCAATAAAAACGACATAGTATGATAAAGCATAAAACCATCAGAAAAGGTCATAGTATGGCAAGGTATGAAGACGTCAGGAAATAATAAGGCCCTAAAAGCAATAAAAACGACATAGTATAGTGTGGCAGAAAACGACATAGTATAGTATGGCAAAAAACTTGAAAAAATTACAAAGTATAATAAAGCATAAAATCCTCAGAAAATGTCATAGTATGGCAAGGTATGAAGACGTCATGGTATAATAAGGCCCTAAAAGCAATAAAAATGACATAGTATAGTGTGGCAAAAAACGACATAGTATAGTATGGCAAAAAAATTTAAAAAATTACAAAGTATAATGAAGCATAAAACCATCAGAAAACGTCATAATATTGCAAGGTATGAAGACGTCATGGTATAATAAGGCCCTAAAAGCAATAAAAACGACATAGTATAGTGTGGCAAAAAACGACATAGTATAGTATGGCAAAAAAATTTAAAAAATTACAAAGTATAATAAAGCATAAAACTATCTGAAAACGTCATAGTATGGCAAAGTATGAAGACGTCATGGTATAATACGGCCCTAAAGGCAATAAAAATGCCATAGTATAGTATGGCAAAAAACGTAAAAAAACGACATAGTATAGTATGGCAAAAAAATTGAAAAAATTACAAAGTATAGTAAAGCATAAAACCATCAGAAAACTTCATAGTATGGCAAAGTATGAAGACGTCATGGTATAATACGGCCCTAGAAGCAATAAAAACACCATAGTATAGTATGGCAAAAAACGTGAAAAAAACGACATAGTATAATAAGTGTAGCAAGTAATTGTCATAGTGTATTAAAGTATAAAACCATCATAGTGTAGTCAGGCATCGAAGCCAGAGATAACTGAAATCTCATAAAGGGACAGAGAAATCATGATACCTATTACAATTTTATGAAGGTCAGCAAATAATACATAAAAGTTTAGGAAGTTGTTAAGGAAAGTGATATCAAGCAAACAACATAGCATAATAAGGCATAAAAACATTAAAAAACCTCAACGTATAGTAAGATATGAAGACATCATGGTATAATAAGATGTAATAAAAATAAAAATAATAAAAATGTCAAACTATAGTAAGGCATAAGAACTTCATAGTATAGTAAGGCCTGCGGGCAGAAGCTTGGACTTGGATTGAACCCTCGACCTACTCACTGAGAGGCAACAGTTGTAACCATTGCACCACAAAGCTTCCATACAATTAGGTCATAGTATAGTCATTCATAATAACGTCACAGTATAGTTGAGCGTAAAAACATAAAAAAACGTCATAGTACAGTAAGGGATGAAAATGTAAAAAATGTCACAGTATAGTAAGGCATAAATTGGTCTAAAAACATCATAGTATAGTAAAGCATAAAATTGTCTAAAAATGTCATAGTATATAGTATGGCATAAAATGTCAAAAAATGTCATCGTATAATGAGGCGTAAAAATGGCTAGAAAAAGACATAGTATAGCAAGGAATAAAAAGGTCAAAAAACAACATAGTATAGCAAGGAATAAAAAGGTCAAAAATCATCATAGTATAGTAAAGCATAAAAATGTCTAAAAATGTCATACTATAGTAAGTAGGGTTTTCACCAGAACCGATAATTCGGTACCAAGTCAATGCCACATGGCAAAACACAGGACAATACCCGTTTTTGCGTGCTGACACTTGACGAGATTGATAGTCACCCTCTTAGGAAGCAACATAAGATTGACATCCTAGTAAAGGAGGCAGCTGAGTGAGTGCTCATCACGCCTGCTTGCGCATCAGGTGTCATTGTGCACAAGCAGGATTTCATTAACTGTATGAGCAACTTATCTCATGGTGCAAAAGCGTCTTTCCTCAAAAGTGACAGTAATCTACCAAAAACATGAGTAAAAGAACATTAACACTAATTACTGCATCACTGGCAACATTTGAATCACTCATAACACATTTAAGCACAGTTTCTCGGCACATGCTCTGCCTCTGCCAAAGGGAGGATGAGGAGCGTCCACTACTTGGCTGCAGTTTAGCCCCAATAACAAATGGAAGATGGCAACAAGTTCAGGCACACAACTTGGTACTGCTGCAGCACTTCGGCTTGTCGAAAGAAAAAGCCAGAAGAGTCGCATATGGAAATATTTTGCTTTCGAGGATGATGATGAGGGCTTGATTATAGACGGTTTGTGAACGGTGCCTTCGCACTTTCCAAACCACAGTTGAAATGCGGTGCTATAAACAGTTTACTGCCTACATTTTAGCAAAGTATTGTTTACTTTAAATACTTGAAGGCTACATGCCACTGTTCTTTTTTACAGTGTCAAAATCTGTTTCATTTTATTATTATATCTATTATATGTCCATATTTTTTATGTCTCAGACTATTAAAATGCTCTGCAATAAAAAGTTGACTGACTGTATATTTTAACATAGTACTATTTACTTTAAATTCTTGAAGGCTACATTCCATTGTTCTTTGTTTTTTGTTTTTTTTAATTCATATTTTTCAATAAAGGAGTGAAAGAGAAAGTACATGGAATTTATTATGTGTGTTTTGGTTTTTTTGGGTTTTTTTTGCCGTGGTATCGAAATAGGTATTGAGAATCGTGGAATTTCACTGGTATTGGTATTGACTACTAAATTTCTGGTATCGTGATATCCCTAATAGTGAGGCATAAAACATCTAAAAATGTCATAGTATAGTGAGGCATAAAAATGTCAAAAAACGTCATAGTATAGTAAGGTATTAAAACATCAAAAAACATCATCCTACAATAAGGCATAAAAACGTCATAGTATAGTAAGGCTAAAAATGTAAAAAAACGACATAGTATAATAAGGCATTAAAACATTTAAAAACAACATAGTATAGTTAGGCGTGAAAACGTCAAAAACGTCACAGTATAGTAAGGCATAAAAAGCTCAAAAAACATCATAATATAGTATGGCATAAAAATGTCAAAAAAAAGTCACAGTATAGTTAGGCATAAAATCGTTATAGTATAGTAAGGTATAAAAACGTCATAGTGTAGTCAGGCATAAAATGACACAAAAACGTCACATTCTTGATCAAATGCTAACATGCCTAAATCGGTTGTCTTGGAGACGTAGCCTCTTGGCGGGCACATTGGAATGATCTAATATGACTTCACTCCAAACATAGTGCGAATGGGGATAGGGACAATTCTGTTCTTGCAAAATATTGGTAGGTCCATATGCAAACCTACGCCCTTGTGTCATTGATGTGATGTGCAAATTAGCGATAGAAAATGATTGCAAAAATGTAAGAATTTTTCTTTTTCTTTTTTTGTGAGCACCCTGCCACCCCCCAACAAGATGCCACCATGGGCGTCTGCCCATGTTGCCCCTATCTAAATCCGACATTGGACTCACCGTAGGAGCCTCTTCCAGCCATCTTATGGAACTGCTGCCAGGTGAGTGGACCTTGAACATGTTGAATGTTTTCCCAGGTCCGGCCCGTTCTCTTCTTCTGGATGGCATCCTGCAGGAAAGGCTGCAGAGACAGCAGCATGCGAACCATGTCCTGGGACGACAACATGCTCATGTCCACCACTGTGGCAGAGACACACACACACACACACACACACACACACACACACAAAAGGATGCATAAACTGGTGAACGCATGTTAACAAGATTCGATACACAAAAAGAAACAAACACACAAAACACATTAATACATAGTTTAGATAACACAAACACAGCTAAAGCATACATAAAATTTATATTCTCATCAAAGACTTAACAATGTGTAAAGTACAATTTGATTTATGGGAGTTTGTGACATATATCATTCAGATCCTTTCTTCAGCAGCTAAATCATGTTTCTCACCGTTAGTGTGAGGCCAGGAGTGAAGAGCTGTACTTCTGACAACAGCTGGATCTACTTTCCCTCCTGTGGGGTTATCCACATACTGCAGCCCCTGTTCCAAGGCATTGTAACACTCCATACAGGCATCACTCCCATCTGCCCACTGCTTTTCTGACATCCAGCTTTGCAGCAGTGCCCCCTTGCGGCCATGGCAGGAACAGCTGAGGGGGAGGTGCAGTGATGTCAGGGATGAAATCGGCTGGGAGCACTGTTCCTGCAGGAGGATCATGACCAACGGTGAAGCAGGGGCTGCGTCCTGAGGCCGCTTGGCCCTGGGGTCTCCCATAGTTGGGTCCCGCCGGCAAAGAGCCAGCCTCCTCTCTGCTGCCCGGCCCACTTCAGAAGTCCGACCATAAATATCCAGCTCATCCTCCAGGAAGAGGCCTGTTCCGTGGGCCAGCCGCCTGTTCACAATGGCACTGAATCCACACATACAGCGGTACTGATCTTCACAGGTAGAATCTGGGATATACACCCCCACATCTGCTCCTTTGACATTCATATTGCAGGCACAGATACAGCAGCTGTCAAAATTGCGATCCTTGAAGACGTTGAGGACGGAGTCTGAGAGGAGGAGGATAGCATACAGGCTGTGGGCCTCAGGCAGAGAGGGTCCTGGCCGAGCTAGGGGCTCCACAGAGCTGAGAGGCAGGCTGGTCGAGGGCGTAGAGGCTGGTGAGCTCAGCTCAGTACCATCCTGCTTCACCGAACCCTGCCCAGAACTTGCAGCATTAATACCCCTTGGTGTACGAGGGGTACGTGGAGTGGGCACAGAGAAGCGGGGAGTGGCAGGAGATGGGAGTATACCAACAGTGGTGCTCACAGAAGCAGCGTTGGCACTCATCTGGCCATATTCCTGATCTGTGAGAGTGTTGACACTGGGGATGTTTCTGGAAAAGAAACACATTAAAGGAAACAAAAACAAATAGTCAGATAGACAAACAAGATCATTCTAACTCTCTGGGGTGCAGCTCTCGAAGGTCACACTGCTCCTTACACCCAAACAGAGTAAAATCCTTTGAACTGACGGACATTATCATGGTTCGAGCGCTGCACTCTTTGTAGTAAGGCTAAAAAAATCAACCTCACATATTCCTCCCTCAGAAACCACATACTCCAGCACAACACTTTTAAAAGCTTGTGTAAAACTTTTAGAAATGTCTTATAAGCTCATCATAGCTGACTACTCACGTGTATCCATCCCTGATGAAAGTGGTATTTTGGGGATGCATGACTGCGGGGAAATGCTCCATTTTGGGCAAGAGGGCCCAGGATGGACGGTAGTAACACTGCTCAGGAATCTTGAGTGGTGGTAGACTCTGGCTGGGTAGGCAGGATAGTGGGGCAAACATGGAGGAGCCTATTTGTGGCTGGATTGGGAGGAAAAATGTAAGTTTGTCATTTATTAACATTGAGGCACATTTCATTGCACAGAGTATAGCTACAAGAACAGCCACACATAATTGGATGCATCTCCCCAGTACCAGGTAGGAATCCCTTTTGATTCTAAAACTGTAAGCACACATCCCAACACTGCAGGACATCTGAATTAACTAATGTTACTATAATGCTATTTAAGGATAAAACTGGCAATATCCTATATTTTTCTTATTGTCAGCAAATCCCATTAAAAGACTACACATTTTTGTCTATTTAGTGTTGACATTTTTCGGCAGCAGATTAATACACATTTAGCGCCGTCGTGAGTATCTACAGCAGCAGGGCATTGTAGGTGGAGTTGAACTACAACAGACTACACTAAAATAAACTAGAGTGTCCATGTTCATTGTAATGAAGGATCAAATCACCCAGTGCAACATTGTGGCTCATTGATACAATGGAGCTTTATGGCACAGAGCAATAAGCTATTCATGCCAGTAGGATAAAATCATTGTTGACGTAGTGTTTAAATCATAGTGTTTAGGTATATTATGTTCAAATTATGTACTGATCAAATCAAGAAGTCTAATATGTTCCACACACATTGTCCATAGGTTTAAACATTGCATGCTATATTTTAACTGCCAACTAAATATCACAAAAGAAAGCCAGACCTGCTGCACAAAACCAGATTTATAGACTCTTAAAGTATCCAGTGTTGGTGTTTATAAGCCCACTGGCAAACCTCCCCTGACCGCTCTCATTTACATAGTGATATTCCCCAAATCATGTTTCCTATTTACAGAATCTATAAAAGATAGAGGCAGCAGTACAACACAATGGAAATCTATTTCTGTAGCCACAGTTGTCATTAAGTTACCTGGATCCCATTAATTCTAATGTTAAACCTTTCAGTCCTGTTTGCATGTTTCACATATTGAGTTGTGCTAAAAATGCTTGTTGTTTGGAGGAGCTTGTTGTTTTGTGTTAACAAGCAGATGCCCCTAATAGTGGCCACTAAGTGCATTCTGCTATAATTAGCATTTCCCAGCTCACAGAGCCTGCAGTCAGTACAGATGTCTGACTCACAACATGGAGATAGTTAATTAGCAAGCTACAGGTATTAGTAAAACAATTCCGGCATGATATGTGAGCAAGAGCAGCTGCTCAGTAGCTAGCTGCAAGTCAGTCTGCACGTACTTGCAATTACTTGATTACCAGATTTATGTGGATTTAAGCAATTTGTGAAAGTAATTAAACAGCAAGTTATCCTTTTATTTTCCCGGTCCACACCTAAACATGTGATGTGTTTTTACTTTGGCATTGATTCCTCACCTTGATATCCTCCTGTCTGGGACTGGCCATGCTATCATCCATCTCCATCCTGTATTCAGTAAACTGAGTGGAGGCTAAAGGCGCCAGGTGGTCAGCTGCTCCACTGGGTGCGGGTGGCTCTTGACTCGGGGTGTCACGATACGTCATGATAGGAGAAAAAGCTGGGTGCTGCTCTAGAGAAGGTGGGGTGGGAAACATCCGCTGGAGGTCTGCTACTGCTGAAAGCAGACAGAAATGGAGAAAGAGATGAAGAGACAGGGCAGAGCGGAGACAAAAAATTGTACAATGGGATTAAGGAATAATCATCGCAATTGAATGCAGTGGCTATACATAAAAACTGTAGTCAGGTGCCTCTGAAATGTTTTTCATCAAGATTTTACAAGTAAATAAGCATCAAAGTGACTCACTTGATGGATAAGGTACTGCAACTCTCCCTTCCTTCCCGAGAGGCCGATCTTCTGTCGTCACCGGCAGCTTTGCTGAGTGCTGGTTGGGGTAAACAGTCTACAAATTATTACACATAAGATTAGAGGATCAGTTTTATTCAATGCAATATTCTGTGCTTCAGAATATTGAAACATAAAACATACAGGATAATGAGAAAATTATACTATCAGTGCCTGTGCTTCCACAAAATCTTTTAACTTGAAATATGTTACTTTTTTCCTGTGCCAATTACAGTATGTTTGCTAAAATGCAGCTGTGTAAGAGTTACTTTATATAGAACACACACACACAAAAATATAGTACATAAACCATGATGTCTCACCCCCAACTCTTCCTCATCTTCATCAAATATGTTGTCTAGATCAGAGATGTTGACCACCAGATCTTTTTCTCTGGTCAAGGAAGGATTGGCTTTGGCAGCTCCGTCATCTTGACCTGATTCATCTAAAACAGCACAAACCACTTTTGCTCAAATGCTCAATTCATTCACAATACTGTTGAATATGTATACGCTGTTGATGGCAGTGACGGTGTCCAACCTGATTTTGGAGCCGAGTTAAAAATGGACATAGCATCTTTCCCATCAGGCAGTGCTCCATTGCTGGTGATTTCTTCTCCCTGGTGGATCAATTAGAAGAAAATAAGAATATTCTGTTTTCAGTTCCAGTCTAATTTTTAAAAATAAAAAAAAACCCAGAGCCCCCTTTTAAAGAGCTACTGTCTGACATTCTGACATTTTGTGCCATCGATGATTTATTTGGAATTTCTTGCAAGCATAAATTGAAAACCTGCATTTGTGCATTTTGTGAAATGGGTATTTAAAAGTATAAGAGTATCTGTATTTATGTGTATTTTGTGATACATCATTTTTTGGCCAGTTGGGGGCAGCAGAAACCAGCTGTAAACACAACACTGACATATCATCACCATTTAAGTTGATATGGCTGATATTCGCAAACAGCTGTCAGTTTATACATCCAGCAGATATGAAGCAACATTAGCATTCATTTGCCGTGTCTTTGGCCTGCTGACATGTTTAATCCAATATTCACTCTCTTTGAGTTCTGTTTGTGGTTGATCACAAACTGTTGAGGGAAATATTTGTCTTTTTAGCTGCTAAATGCTCCATATGTTCATCAGCTAGTCGCTAACTCTGTCCGCTCTGGTTTGTCTTTGTCTTTTTCAATGAAAAAAGCTGCCTGTTGAAGCTGGAAACGAGATTGACGAGAGTGGTGAGAGTAAATCAAAACAGTTAAGTTGCAAGTCTGAAAAAAAACAAAAAACAAGCTGAAAGTCTTAGTAGGTGATAATTCTCTGTGTGTTCATTAGTGGTCATGTGATCCATATTAATATAAAAATGTTGTTTATTTTAAGTTTTTCCTTAACTATGACTTTAAACTGTATGTGTTGTTTTACCTTGGCCTTCTTGCTGGGTTCTCGTCCTTGACCCTTTAATCTCTTGGAAGTGGAGAAAGTGTACTCAATGTCTCCTTCCTTAAAGTCGTAGGGATCATCCCCAGGCTCCCGCAGTGCCTCCACGCCTGGCTGCTGGAACAGGCCCAAAGTGTGGATGTGGTCCCTCACCCTCTCCTCTGAGATTTTAAATCTCTTGTGAGTCTGTGTGTATAGTCTGGAGGAAACAAGGAGACAAATGCAATCAATTAATCTGTGGTAGCAGTAGTAGTTCATTCTCTGTCTTGTTTTCTTTTGTGTCCTCATATGTCATATCTAATCTCACATTTCCAGATTAAGTTAGACGCTTTCATTGCATGTATCATACATATTAGCTCCAGTGCTACCTGATAAATCCATGCTAAATCCCCATAAATCCCCCAGTTTTTATTGCTGATGTTTTGTGTCTGTGATTCTGGCTCAGGTAGCACTGCCCAGTGTTTCCAGAACCCTAGAATATCTGTCTATATTCTTCATTACTACACTCTTTGTTGTTCCTCTCCCAACTGTACCAAACAGCAAAATACCGTGACTGTGTATCTCTCCTACCTCTTTAGTGGAGCTCCTTCACTGGCTGTCTCTGTCTTCACTTCCTCTGATTTTTCAGAGGGGAGGTCAGGGGGTCTGTAGTCAGTCTTATCAGTTCTGGGAGTCCTGAAGCCTCTCCACCAGCCAGCCCCATTCTCCCTCTGCTTCAACAGAGCTGTATACACAGCTGTCTCGCTGGTGATCACCCCCAGCCCTGAAGCTCCATCTGGACAGACAGGCATATCCACAGGCCCCTCCAGAACCTCTGGGTCCTGCACCCGAGGGTGTGGGCTGAGTGTGGGCGGAAGTGGAGACATCGGCGAATGCAGAAGGGACTCAGGGGCTTTCCTGGAGAGCGGTTTGGGATACTTGCAACTTGGCAGAGCGGCCAGAGGCTCCAAGGGTGGTTCCAGTGCCACAAGACCCCCGAGCTGGGGCCCTCCTGGTGAGTCCTGTTCAAGTGGGGTTTCCTGTGTGACAGACAGCCGGTGGTGGAATGGGATCATGGCTGGCCTCTTGGACTGTTTGTCAGCCTTTTCTGTTTTGTCACTGGTCTTGTGTTTGGGCAGGGAAGGAGGGTATAATGACGGGCCAGAGGACTGAGTGGGGTTGGCACTAGTCTGGACATTGGCAGTGGATGTGGTGGCCAGATTCAGCTTCTGCTGCCTCAACCTGTAGCAAAGTCAAGGAAAACAAAGTTAAAAAAAACACTATACATGTATACCCAATATTAAAATAAAAAAAACACTAAAGGATCAGGTTTAAGATGTTTCTAATCTGAGCCTTAGAGGCAAAATATTAGCTAATTCAATTATTACAGAGGTGTTACTTTAATATGACAATAATGGGAGTCTTTAAATTGCAAAATCTGCATTCAGTTAATCTTTCTTTCCTAAGTCAGCCAGCAAGGCGTTTTCAGACAGCTGTCATGTATTGTTTTCAAAATAAAAGATTCTGACAAGTGACAAAGCATTATCTCTTTTCTGCAGCACAGCAGTAATTTTATTTGATCTTAGACTGTAATCTGGAACATAAGCAACATGTTCATACAAACAATAGGACATTAAAACTTTATCAATTATATTGATATCACAAATGTGATGAAACTTGACATGGATATCTTTTTGAAGACTGTGTGGTATGTTGACATACGTTTAAAAATTCCCTTAACAAAGTTTTAATTGGAGTACCCAGGTGTGCAAGAGGCCTGTGAAAAATGTGAGACAAGGCTCATATACTGTATATATACTGTAAGTACAATGCTGTCGAACAGCTTGGCTGGAGCTCTGGGGTACCTGGAGCAGCTGCAGGGCGCTCTCGCTCCCAGATCGTTGAAGTCCCACGTGGTAACTCCATTTGGCACTTCCTTCTTAGGCGTCACGTCAGATGGCGGATTCAGTCTGCAGGGAATAAACGGGTCCGTGAGGGCGCCAGCTCGACTGCATCACTGCACTTCAATAATAATCACACCAAACAGTGGAAACAAACTGACTTAAACTTACACATGCTGAGGCTGGTTGAGATAGCACTCCCTCCAGGCCTGATGGACCACCTGACAAGTAAGCTTCTTCCCAGAATGCTTTGGGCTGATGCTAGCGACCCCCATGCTGCTGTCTGGTGTGGGAACACTGGAGACGGAGGTCACAAAGCCACTGTCCGCTGAAAAGATGAAAGGTGTAGCAGATGTCATAAAACAGGACTGAGCACAGGATTTTCAACCATGACTTTTAATTCCAGTTTCCATCTCCTCCAAACACCAAGCACCATCTTTATTGTGTGTCCATGGATACGTAAATTAAAACTGTCACACAGAAGTTCAAGTAGAACTTAATGCTTAAGTCGACTGACAAGAGTTACTAAAAGTGTGAACAAGAATCATTTCATGGCGTATATATTTGTATGTTCAATCGTCAGTAAATACCATTTTTCAAGGATAAGGACTCTTTAACAGCAATTATTTGTCAAACATCAACTGTTCAAAAATAGCTTATTGTTGAAAAAACATTAACATGTCAACATGTATGTGTAATGTGGTATCTGATGTCCTGTGTGTGCATGTTTGTTACCTGAGCAGGGCTGCTCTGGTGACGTTGGCGGTGTGAGCGGCACGCTGCAGTGGTTCGGCTCCCTGTTGAGGCCCTGAGCTACAGGAACAGGTGGAGGCTGCTCCACTGGTAGGTCCCCCTGGGCAATCAGCACAAAAGCAGCTGGGTAGGTCATCCTCACACCACCTGGGAAGATACAAAAGGAGGACATTATTTACGGTTATGAAACGAGAGGGTGTCTGCTGCTCACTTTTAACTGCGGGTGGGTTGAAACTGTCAAAAATGGGTACCAGTTAAAGTGAGCAGTAGTTATTTTTTTATTATGCAACACCCACATATGAATTATTGTGCTTAAAGATAACATCCCCTTCATCAACTTCTATATTCATTAATATATTTTGCTGGGTAAAATTATATATGTAGCAGACATCCCTAATAATTGGTGGCAAGTACAGTGGCTATATAGTATATGCAATGCACTTGCTCCGTATCCACTGATGTGAGCATACACTTCCTCTCACTGCTCATATAAAACATCATCTTAAATCCCTTTACACTCACATCTTGACTTTAATTTCAGGCAGCAAAGACTAGACAGGCTTTCCTCTTTAGATGTAAAAGCCACCGGTATCCATGGGAGTTTTGATTATAATCAGGTCAAACCAATGCTGTGGGATCAGACTGATTAGACAAAGCTGTTAGAGTAACTCCCTGCGGCTTTTACTACCACTTCCCCCATCTTTCCTCTCTGTCTCTCTCCTCTCCTCCCTTCCTGTTATTTCCCCTTTACCACTCTGAGATGTGCTGAACGACCATGAGGATCTTTGCAGCGAAGGTACACTTCGACAGTACTCCCACCCACTAATAGCTCAGTTCAAAATGCCAGGGAGTCTACCTCGAGATCGAGGGTAGTCAATGTGAAGTTGATCCCTGTTTGCTTTAGCAACATCACTGTGGTCCAATGTATTTTTGTTGCTCATCTCTTGCTGAAAAGATCTCCAGTGTTTTTTATTATGTACTGCGTGTGATTATATAATATGCAGAACATGTATAAATATTGAAAATGTCCATAAAACAGTAAATCCTGCTACTGGAGATGCATTTTTCACCTTCCACACTGTTTCAAATCCACCAAACTTTTTTCCATACCTACGATGACCTCAACTGCCACGTGACAGTTGCGATCGTAGGCCTGGCTTGCTTCTTCTTTTTCCTTCTCTCCACTTCCCTCTTTTTGCTGGAGCACCATAGGGTAGAAGTAGCTCCAGTCCTCCATTAGCTTCCGTACCGCTGGCTCACTCATCTTGTAGGCCTGACCCGTTAGAGTGCCACTCAGACCGTACGGACTCAGGATCACTGCAGACGGATAAAACAGATTGGAAGGAGAGAAGATGTGAAACATGCTGCAACCTTAAATCGTTTCAGTAAGTTTGCTGTATTTTATTATATTGTGCAACAAAGATACACATTGAGGAGCTGAAAGGTAAATACAGTAAGTTTGTAGAAGGTTACCTTAACTTTGCCTATAATAACATTTTATTTAATCATTTCTGTTTTAGCCAATTACAAATACGAGATAAGCTCATATATTCTTTATGAACTTTTCTACTTTTCTACTTGGGATATAACTAAGAACACATACAATAGCACAATTTTGAGATACTTGTACCCCCTCATGTTCCATGCTGTTTTATACTTCTACTCCACTTCAGTTGAAAAGAACTACTTTACACATTATATTTATCCAACAGCTAGAGTCACTAGTTAGTTTGGAGAAAAGGATTTTAAACACTAAACATATGAGCTTATAAAATATGGAGCACTGTAATAAATTAAACAAAAGTTTCTAAAACTCAAAAGTATATCAAAGTTTACTAGACTATATTTTTTACATATTGATGCATAAGTAATAATAATAATAGTAAGTTATACTTTCAAAGCAAAACTTCTACCTGTAATGGAGTATTTATATAATCTATATGATCTGATTCAGCCTCCACTGCTGCTAATTTGCATGTTGTGTTTTGTGCAATACAACACATTTGCATTATACATGTTCACCAGCAGTGTAATCCATTTCTGGCCGTGCTTCATTGCAGTGCGTTCGTACTGAACATCACTCTTGTTTTGTTCTGTGTACATAAACCATCGAAGAAAACAATGGGTTTGTGGTATTACCTTGCACTGGTGTGATGGAGGTCTGTGCGAGACGGATGTGGTTTTCTGTGATGTGGTACGCAGGCTGGTGCTGGGCGATCTCCACGCTTGTGCACACGTTGCTCTCCCCGTGGAGGAAGAAGGAGAAGGAACATGATAGGTGTTCACTGGGGACAGAAAACAAGCAAAGGTTTAAATCATGAGACCACAGATAGACAGACACAGTACAGGGATGTGGTGGTGTACTTCCCCTGTTGCGTGTGCCGTGAGCTGAGCAGAGAGCAATGTGAACAGATCCCTCTGAGCTCGAGCTCGTGCACAACATAAAAACAAATTAAATGGCAGCATGAGCTTGCACTGTCAAACAGACAAACCCTCTTTGTCCATTTTAATTGCATGTGAATTAACCTACACGACTATAAACATAATTGAACTGCGATTTGAATTGAATTGAAATTACATTTAATTATGTTCAACTTCAGATTAAATAAACCCATGAATCAAATCTATTGAAAAACAAATGCACGATGCGAATGCGCCAGTCTTTCAGGCAGCAGCGTGACAAATGACGAGTGCTTTTCTCCAAATAGCAATTTAGAGAGCATCCTCAGAATGTGTCTTTGTAAAAGCCTCGCAGATCTCTACCTACATTGATCATCTTCATCATTTCCCACATAGGCTCCTTATTGCAGGTATAAATCCTCATTTGCTTATGACTGATTGTGGTGACTACATGTTTACATATGCAGCGCTCTCTTTATTACACAGCCCCTGCACAGTTCATCATGCATTGCTCTTTTTTTAATCACGGAGGAGTAATTGTCCTGGCCTTATTGCAATCTATATACCAGTGGGCGGGCTGGACATCATTAACTATCATCGGCTACTCTGATGTATATTTTTAATCTATAAAGCTCCTTACCACCTTGGTTTATATATATCAGACTGACAATAAAGTCAGCAGGTACTGTAATCGCCTTGTGATTACCCTGCTGCCTATGCAATATCTCCTTTGCCCTGAGGGAGCTGGACCTCCATTTGAGCCGTAATGGATCATCAAATTCAATAAAATGGCCAGTTCCACAGTCACTCATGGGCAGAACTGAACACAGTCATGAGGGAGCCAAATATCATGCGGCGTTAAGCGTGACGGCCTCCAGGTGGCGCTGAGCTCACCCAAAGAGAAAGAGGCCAATTTCTCTGCCTCATAAACATTCCTGATGCTCCCAGAGAAAAAAAACGTACCCTCATAACAGCAGGTGGTTTGAACACAGGTCTGCACAATCACAGGAGGAAGAGCAGAGCTAAAGCACATACATATGCATGCACAAGCCTGCGAGAAAACAGGGACACGAGCGCATGTCGCCTTCACACCTACAGGCACGCGCATGCACGCACACACACACACACACAGATACACAGCACTAGTCCATCATCTCACCAGTTCGCATCTCTACAAAACATGAGTCAAAATGCTTTCAATGTCACCGCCCTCCATCCTTGTCCTCAGTGCATCATTACACCATAAGAAGAGCTATATATAGCTGCATAGGGAGGCTCAGGGGAGCAGCTGCAAGTCAAGAGTACTGGTCCAACTAACTGCCATGCACATTATGCACACACAACCACGATTTACATAAGGATCTCAATTGCAAAATGCTCCAATTATCTTCTGAGGGTAAAGTCATGACCCTGCACGGATAGATGCAACTTCAAGGTACTTAAGATATGTAGGTGAGTAAGTCATAACTGTTTTTTTTTGTTATTATTATTATTTCCCATCTGTTTGTTTGACTGATTGATTTTCTGTATTTCACTATATTATAATTTCTGTTCTGCTTGCACTTACAGCCTGACAGCCTTGCACAGATTACACAAAGCTGTGAAATGAAGCATCCATTAGTATTTATTTCCCTCTCATGTTGATAGTTCCTGTTTATATTGTTATTATATATTTTTTATGAGTTGTGCGTGTACTGATTGGGACTGATGTGTCTACAAAAACACTATACCCTCAAGACCCCTCATAAAACCGCAGCCCTGGCCAAATAGCAGGGAATCACTGTTGGAAATCCTCTCTGCTCTCTTTGTATCTTTATCTTATCTTTCTCAGTTTTAAAATCAGGCAGCAATCCAACAGAATTCCCTGGATCCCTCAGTATTTCAGCTGAACTGACTGCATGCTGATAAAGAACTGTTCGCATTGGTAGTACTTATCAATTTTACCTCATACATAAAGTATATGTTGTAACAAAGCAAAGCCCAACAAACGCTACAGATTAAAATGATTAAAAGTCAATTAACATTGTGTCGAGACGAAAAGTTTAGTTAGGTAAACAATCACATTTGATAACCTATACAAGCAATCAATCTAACCAATAATTAATGTGCAACAATTACGACCTAAGATCTATTATGACTGCAATAAAGCGCAATTAAATGTGAGTCAGGGAAAAGCAGAACTACAAAAAGAGCATCAAACTGTAGGCTGACGCAGCTGGGAGATTGATGCTCCCTGTCCTTTTACAAAGGGCATTTTCCTGCACAGTAAGCGGGTGTGAGTGTGTGGACACACTGGGCTTCTTGCATCCTCCGGGACATTTGTGCAGACAGCAAGCGTGTGTGTGTGTGTGTGTGTGTGTGTGTGTGTGTGTGTGTGTGTGTGTGTGTGTGTGTGTGTGTGTGTGTGTGTGTGTGTGTGTGTGAGAACAGCGGACATAGATGTGAGGCAGCTGTGTGTGCTGGGCTGTATGAGTACAGGTATTAATAAATGAAGAGGAGTGATGGCTGAGACTCGCCTCAGGGCTGACAGTCCTGTTGAGAGATAGAGAGAGGAGAGGAGAGAAGGAAGAGTGGGGGGAGGTGGGGGGGGGGTTGAGAAAAAGAAGTGAGAGTGAGAGGAGGAAAAAAGAGGATGAGCAGAGTAGAAAAAAAAGACAGGGATGAAGACAGAGTGAGCTATAGAGGTAGAAAAATTAAGGGAATGCTGGAATAAGACTGAGACGAAAAGGGAAAATAGAAGGATAGAGAGGAAATTAGGAGGACAAGGAAAGAAAGATACAGTATAAAATGAAGAGTGAGAGCAAAACGAGTATGAGAGAAAGAGGAGGAGGTGAATAATTCAGTGCCACGCACTGCAATTGCTGCACACATATCGATGAGATCAGAGTTTTAATGGGTGGCTACTGAGCACAATTTTATGGCGAAATCAATCAGGGGATGTAGAGCCAGAGAACACAGACACATCACATGCTATCCTTGTGTGTGTGTGTGTGTGTGTGTGTGTGTGTGTGTGTGTGTGTGTGTGTGTGTGTGTGTGTGTGTGTGTGTGTGTGTGTGTGCATATGTGTGTGTGTGCATATGTGTGTGTGTGTGTGTCTACTTCATTTGGCTTCATATGTAAGGTACGTGCCTGCACTTATATGCAGCACAAATTCAGCAAATGTGCAAACACCTTATGTACGTGAGTGTATGCATGTAGAGGGAGACACAGTGCATGCACATAAACCCACATTTATGATGAACACACATATGTAGTACATCATATGCACATCTGAATGCCACTGAAAAAAGTGAAAATGGACTGATTGTTCAGTTCATGGGACAATATGTATCCTTTCACCCCATCACTATGCCACCAGCCAGCCAGCAGGGGAGCTGGTTAATGTCTGACATGCACCATGGACTTGACACACGCGCATGTGTCACACACTAAAAAACAATTGTTATCTTGGTTGTCGTTGCTGCTCTCGTGCCTAACCCAGTGGGAAAAAAGATAAAGAAAGATTAGATTAAAAGAGATGGAAAGGAATAAACAGTAAAACAGCTGTGTGCAAAACATACAGATCTTCTGTTCTCACTGTTATAGGCATCTAAAGCCCATGATCTGATAACTGTGTTTAGAAATCATTAACTGAAGTCATATGCACTAAGCAGGCATGATAGCATTTTCTTAGATTCTCTCAGATCTGGAGGATTAATCTGCTTAATTTGCACCTTAAAATCTCTGCCTGCCACCACAGTAGCACTATTATGAGATATCTTCATCCTTCTAGCTGCCTAACCCTTCCTACACAATCTGAGCACATCTCCTGGAAACACAAGAATGTAGACACTGCTCTGGTGTATGCGGACCGATGCAGAGGATGTTTATCCTCTTGTAAGCTCTTGTGAGCAGCGTGTATACACATGCTCCAAAGTCCTTCCAGTGCATTGGCACAATAACTTTATTCCATACAAACAAATCCTAAGATACACACTCAGGCTTATGCAGGTGGGTGCAGGAGCGTGCATATGCTTCTGCATGCACGCAGTCACACACCACTATTAACAGGAGCATAAGGGGGAGTCAGTCAGCTTGATGTATTATTCAGTGGCCCCCAGTGGCTGGCTTTAGCCAGTGTTGCTATCTCAATGTTTGTGCTCAAACACGGCTCCATTTATATGGATTCACAATGGAAAGGTGCCATGACTCCAAGACATGTGCAAGTGCACACTCATTGCCCTTTCTATTGACTGAAAAAGAAGCACAGGAAAAGTCTACTGCCGTTGAAATTAGATTTGTTGTCAACTATGAAAATTTTGTTACTGGGCTATTCCCACACAAATGCTGCCAAGAGGAAAAGCTTAAGTTGCTCACCTCAGTAAGAGCATCGCTGCGTGCTACTGCATGCTCTTACCTTCATATCTGTGGTCCTAATTAAAAGCGAGGAAAAGGATCTGTTGGAAGGCTGTTGCTGTGATGTATCACCGTCCTCTCTATTGATCTGTGTGCCCCCCCCCTCACTCTCAGTGGTTTTACCTGGTAATATTAGAAATCTGAGGTTCTCTGCTTTTTGTCTCGAAGGACGCTCAATACACATGTAGAACAACACGTTTTAAAGGAGAAAATGCAAATATTTCAGTAAACCAAATATTTAACAAGGTACTTTTAAATGAAAGCGTGGTCGCCCCGGATTTTATCTCATTCCTCTGTAGTATGTTAATATTTTTATGGCTCACAGTGCATGTAGTCAATTAATGAGCCACTGTATAGACCTAGGCTGCTGTATTTAAAGACAGTGCTTATTCCTGTGATGTCTCTATAAAGGTCTTTTTACTACTGATGGACTAAAGCACGTATAATTATAATATTCAGATTTATCAATGACTGCAAAAATGGTATTATGATTTTTAATGTTATATTTTCCTTCAAACATTTACTTTATTTTTCAATGTCATTTACATAACAGCGGCTTTAAGATGGACATCTGAGATTATACAAAATTTTACTGTAGGAGCCAGCAAATCTCTGAAACTGCAGTAGTATGGTGAACAATCCAAATTACTCAACTGCCCTAGTCTAGTGAGGGGTATTACATACAAGAGATGTCTTCTCCTCAATGGTGGTCAGGAAGTACTGAAGTACTGAAAGAAAACAAAATGAAACTAACATAAACTAATTCACTAGACTAAACAAAAAAAAAATCAAACAGCTCTAAATACAAACCCATTAACTTTTATTACAGTGTTTTTAACAACTGGTCTTCAAGCCAATCACAAAGTACTCCAGTCATCCACAAGTCTAGCTGAATTCAGTCAGCAAGTTTCCATCTGCCATTTTTCTTCTCAGTCACTTTTATAACCAGTCGAATAATCAGCTATCTCCTAATTTAAAGAGTAAACGATGTTCATACCCACGATGGGTGGGATCTTACACCATTCACCCACTGACTATTTTGAATATTCACACATAAAACACTGATTTGATGCTGTGTGTGCATATATATTATGGTTAAGATTATAAAAAAAAAAAACTTTTGACTTATCTTTTTTTTTTTTTAAATCTATTAAACTGTTCACGTCAGCATTAGCAGCATACTTCACACAACATATATTGCATGTGATCTTTCACTCATTACAACTTTTTTTTCAAGGCCCTGGAAGCCCTGGGGGAAAAACATTTAACCAAACAAACCAATATGAAAAAATATTAGATCTGTGGGCAATTTTTTTAATTACATATATTTTTTCTTTCTTATTTGCTTGTTATTCTTCAGTTAGTTTCTGTCTAATGTTTATGATTAAACATGGTTGAATTGAAGATTTTTGTAGGCATCTAGCTTCCCTCCTCCCCTGCACACATCCAGTTACTGTAACATGACATTTTAATTGTGAAAACGAATAAAAATAAACAGATGATCTTGGCATCAGTAAATCTATCACACAGGTCTGATGCAGAGGATAGAGGAAGAGGGGTGAGAAAAACAGGGGATGCTTTTCATATTTTTTGTTATTTTTATTTCTGGAGATTCTGTGACCTTGTTCATGTGGCCTAACACCAAATGTCTGTTGCCTAGGAGATGGCTAATATCTCAATGTCACTGCTCCCTGAGGAGAGGAGAGGAGAGGAGAGGAGAGAAGAGGAGAGGAGAGGACTTGGAGTGTATTAAAAAAGCTATTCTGTCAGATCAACTAAGGATTTCTGAGATTTTGAAGTAGTTTAAACAGGCAGTGCAAGTTGTTTTTGTTTCATGGTCAAGCACCAGAGGACATCTCTCTTACGCTGTAAAATATGAACATTATTTATGCATATGGCCATGAATGCAAATGCGAGCACCTAGATTAACAAATATACTGTGTACTGTACTTGGCATGCATAGAATTGACTGAACTAATGAGAGAGACAGGCTCTAATACCTCCATTCACCCGTCTATCGTAATGATTAATTTATGACCCCCCACCTTCGCTGATCCCCACCTCCCTACCACACACACTGAGCCTCCTCCCTGCTTGTCCTCTCTCTCATGCCTCTTCTCTCACACTCTCTCTGTATCCCTGTAACTCTCTCTCTCTCTCTCGCTCTCTCGCTCCCCTCAGCGTCTGATGCAATCCGTTACCAACCCAGAGTGCTTTCCTCCCATTCAGACACAAAGAGAGCAGGAGTGCTGGATTGAGGGGGGGTGGGGGTGGCGGGTGGGGGGGTGAGCAGAGGAGGTTGGTTGGTTGGTTTGGGAATCTTCTCCTGGATGTGCCAAGCCTCGCCATGCCCGGGGACACATACAAGATAAACACCAGATAAGCCTGACAAAGGCAGCAGCGCCAAGGAGCAGGAATTGGCACGAGTGAGGGGGCATGGCATGGATATTAGTGCTGAAGCGCCCCCTGTTGGGGATGAAAGGCACAGTGTGGGAGTGAAGAAGAGACAAAGGAACTGGTTACAGCTGAGGCAGGAGGTCAGTGTATGCCTAACTGAGCAATGTTCCCTCATGGCATGAAAACACTGACGGCCAGGGATCTGCAGGGGTTCTTAGGTCTCACACTGTCAATTGTAGGGCAACACTCCTATTCTGGGAACAAGGGGTGGTGTGTGTGTGTGTGTGTGTGTGTGTGTGGGGAGGGGGGGGGTATTTAGGATTGTATGTGTGTTTGCATGTGTGCTGGAAGCAAGCAGTGGAGATATGAGAAAACAAAAACTGCCATGCTTCACTTACATGCTGTGACACATGCAACAGCTGCAGAGTTACACCAAAAAAAACACACCACACAGTGCAGCCGTCTACACAAAGATTTGCGTTTGCTAGTGTGTGCGTGTTGAAGAATATTTCTCTCTGTTTCTCTTTCTCCTTCTCATGCCTTTCCTTCCAGGATGTTCAATAATTCACAGACAGTACAAGTCAGGATTGGCTCAGCAGGGGGCGTTCCAGCTGGCAACATATTAATACAGCGCAGTCGAAGTGATAAGGAATTACATGATGTACGAAAGGGGCGCACGCATGCAAATCACTGCACACGCTCAGACACTGGGTGTAATTTCAGATGCAGAAGCTCTATACCCACCATATGTCTGTATGCATACAGTATGTACGCAGACACACACACTGAGGGACTGTAGTGTCTTCACACGTTCCTACATCGACCATACGTTATTATTCTCTGCCACTTTTCTCGAATCATTCTCCATGGCTCTGTCTCTGCCAGTGACTCCCCCGTTTAGCAATGTTGGTTCTATTTGGTCATATTTGCAAATGTTTTTTTCTTTATTCTTATAAAAGAAAATTCATAGCCTTTTAAATGGACTATATTAATGAGCAACCTCCACTTGTCAAACAGGATAATGTGTCCGATAAAGGCACAAAGAGACACGGAGAATCTGTAAAAGATGTCACAACCTCTAAAATAAAAGACAAAAAGAAGAAGAGAAATGGTGTAAAGTATTTATAGGACACAAACTTTACACTCACATTTAGTTACTGTAAGCTAATGTACAAGCTATTATAGTTTATATTGCATGTGGTTGCTAAGTGTGTTAGTAAAGATTTGAGCCTCCATGAGGCAGCAGAACAATCTTCAGCGCTCCTTGATATAGATTCTACAAGTCAATTGAACTCTATCGGAGGGATGAACACATTTCTGCTAAAAGAACATTCCCTCGTTGGGTGTTTTTCTGATGGCGGTGGAGAGCGCTGTCGAACACTGAACTCAGAAATCTCCTATGGTTGTTAATCTGGGTTGAGATCTGGTGACTGTTAAGGCCATGACATATGATTCACATCCTTTTTCATACCCATTAAAACATTCAATGCACGCTGTAAGAAAGCGACCGCATTCATTATGTTTCTCCACTCATTATGTTTTCACGCGTGTCTCTTTGTTTTGTTGGTTGGTTCGTTTGTTTGTGTGTTCTTTTGTTTGTCAGCAGGATTATGCAAAGTACTGAACTGATCTGCGCTGAACTTGATGGAGGAACGGGTCACGGGCCAGAGAAGAAGCCATTACATTCTGGGGCAGATCTGGATCATTTGCTATGAATTTGAATTTTTTTTCTCTGAAGTCTGGTGTGTGTTGTTTGACAATGGCCTTGGCAGAGGTCTGCGCTCTATGAGTGCCCCTCTAGTTTATTCAGGTTTTTTCCTTTCATCTGTCACCTGCATGAACCAGTGTATTTCACATTAGACTGCTTTTAGGTACGAGAAAGTTCAGGCTTCTCAGAGCACTAAAAGTATGCAATACAAGTGACACGCACACTCTCGAGATGTCACGCAGTGTGCCTCACTGAGGGACTTCTCTGAACCACCTGCTCTGAGCAGCTAAACCTGAGTTTGCTACAGCACATCACAGCAGACTGCACTTGTGTCAGCAACTTTTCCTAGAGCGAGGGTTTCCTGTGCATCACTTAATTTACAGCGCATTTGAATGACAACGCAATTTACAGCTCTCCACTTCAAAAACTACAAAGTAAATGTAAATACATGGATGATTTTTTTTTGTGTGTGTTTGCTGCCTCTAAGCAATATTCAAACAGATTTCTAAAATGAGCCATTTGACAGTTAAGTGGTTTCCTTGGAGCCATTTACTAGAATACTTAGCATTTTGAGCCTCGCTATGTTAGAGATGTGAGGAATGCTGCATCCTCAGCAGCTGGAGAAGCTGAAGTGGGCACACTGAGCTGTGAGAGGGAACTATAATGGCTGAAGCAACAAGTTGAGCTGCTGTCATCACGCCCACCTCTCTGTCTGTCTCCCACATTGCCTACACAGTTACACAGTGTGACTCCGACACACACACATACACGACCACCCTCCCCTCACCCAGAGGGGGAGAGAGAGAGAGAGAAAGACAGAGAGAGAGAAAGAGAGAAAGAGAGAGAGAGAGAGAGAGAGAGAGAGAGAGAGAGAGAGCTGTGAGAGCTCGACCCAGCTCAGCTCTCACCTCTCACCACCATTCACCGCCCTGGTTTTTAATAGTCTCACACCATGAGCCAGCCGCTGGAACACCGAGGAGAGGAGACACTGCAAATACTGAATCACATGAAAGCCATTCAAACCGCGCAGCTGTGTCACACTTTGACATGCGCACACACACACCCGGTCACACACACGGACTACTGTAGTGTATACACCAATCAGCCGCAACATTACAACAGGTAACTGGTTTTAATGCTGTGGCTGATGGGTGTATTTCTCACGGTCTAACACACACGAAACCTCACGGGCTCAGAGGCATTAAACATGCTGAAGGAGCTCAGTGACAATATCTCAGCGGCGCGTGTGTGTGTGTGTGTGTGTGTGTGTGTGTTGAATGTTCACTTACCTGTTGCCCAAAGACTTTTCTTCCAGTTCGTGTGGCTTGAAGAACCATTTCCCGAGCCGCACAAACCCTTTATCCATCAAACATCTGCAGCAGTAAAGAGAAGTAAAAAAATTTTAAAAAAGAAGAAAAGAGCAAGAGAAAAAGAAAATCATTCACGATACAAAAAAAAAAGACAACAGACGGAGTATGGTTTAACATCTCTCTCTTCTCCTCTCTCTCATCATAAACAGGACGATGGCTGATTAAGAGCAACACCTGAACAAGAATCACGCAACAAGCATTATTCTTGTGAAGCTCGAAGAGCTTTTGATTCAGCTCGGTGGTGATTTTTGAAGCTCGTGGCTCAGTGTTGTATTTCATTACACTGCAGATTGTTTCTCAACAACAGCCTCCATAATATCATTTTCTGGCCTTGATATGAATTTCAAAGCTTCTATGAGCAGAAACAGTTTGATGTGTTTTTATATTTAGTTGACCTTGTGAAAACTGAATCACTTTTTTTTGTATCCTTTCTATCAAAAGCTAAATTGAGCAGCAAGAAATGCAAACAGAATAATATTGACTCTAACTTTGGCTCTTTTGACTGTTAAAACGGTTGTATGATTTTACTTATTCCACATAAACTGCAGCAGGGACTGTCCCTCAGACGCACTTCTGAGTGAAGTGCGAAATGTGAAGTTTATGACGAGCGCACAGGAAAAGTAAAGGTAATCTTCCGCTAATCTGCCTGCCCCCAAAGTGGTGCACGCGTTTTACACATAGCTTTCCAAAACCTGTTCTTTCATCAGATCAAACTCCGATCACATCAAACAGTTCAGTCATCGTCGTGCTCCCTATTTGGCTATTCCACCATCTGTGCACTTCTTCACCTCGTTTCAGCCTCCTTTCACAGACAAAACTCAGCGCCCTCAGAAGTTTGACTTGTCTCTGTGTGCAGGTGCCAGAGACTTCCCTGCTAGATCCTCTGACCCGGGTCGAGGAATTACAAAATGATTTTATGGACTCTTCTCCACTCACACTCCAGCCAGCTATCCAAAGCTGTCAGCCTCTCGCTCTACCATCTTTGGTGCATTCTTGCCACTGTTTTCTTCTCTAACCATGGCTGCTCACTGCCACATATGATCTCTCTATCTCTCTCTCTCTCTCTTGGAAACAATTCATTTTTATAACAACATTAACAAACCAGTTGTATTTAATGCGGATGACGTGGTCACATCACGGGCCAATACAAAACCACATTATAAGGTCAGGATTGATCCCTGTACCGATCCATCATATCAGATCACACTGTGAGAGTGTTAACAGTGCATTATATCAGTGGAGCAACCACAGAGAAATATCTGACGGTTTAGTTGCTAAATGCTTCACTGTTCACTGAACATCAGCTGGTCGCTAACCTTGTCTGTAGCATATAGTGGCTTTAACAAAGCTGAAAGATGAAAAATGCATCTGGGAATGAGCCATAATACCAAAACATGGAGCTGAGACTGAACGACCACACTGAAATATTGATATAAAAACAATGATTAGGGCAGCTTTGAAGAGAGGTATGTTCGGAAGCATGTTTGCTTGATTGACAGGTGTCTCAAGCTATCACACCTGACTGTGTTTGTGTTTGTGTCCTGCTCATCCCGCCTCAGCTCCATCCTGGCACCACCTTGTTACCAAAATGTCAATGTCAATTATCTGCCCACAGTAACTGTCAAAAGTTGCATTGTGCACAAAAATCTAAACACCAGCCTTCAACACACACTTCTCATAAACCTATCTGCAGAGTAGCACGTCTGTTTTTCTTTCCATCTAATTATATCCTATAGTAAGGCACTGTTCATAATACTGGCAATGTATATTATTCAGGGTCATTTGACTAGTGCATTTATTTTGTTAAATATTGTATACATCTTTTGTTGTGTTCACATTGGAAGCAAGCATTACATTACACTGTCATATGCAGACTTCTGAGCTGACTAAGTCTTGCGGCATTGGGTTTCTATAAATCTAACCTCGGCACGAATGGCAGATGTCCAACTTACTTATCTAAACAAACATCAGTCTGTCCAACTGATTACTCTGAGACTTCAACCAACCACAAAGCCCTCACCTGCGCACTGTTATTCCAGCCTTATTCTGAAAAATTGAAAAATAATGAACCATACAACAGTGCTCTCCTGACCATTGCAAATTCAACAACATCCTATGAAATCCACAGTTTATACATTAAGTATTCCACGTAATATTTTGTAATTGAGTCTGAACATTCGTCTTTATTAAGAGTCATTTTGTGTTACTGAAATATTCACAACTGCTTAATTATTTGGCCTTAAAATCTATGGTTGTTCTAAGTACTGATAACCATTTAAAAAAACCAGCCTGTGACAGAGGTCAGTTTCACCTGTACGATATGAAAGAGAGAGTGGTGATCCCTCCTTAGCTGAAACAGTGAGCTATAAAAGGAGTTAGCTTCAAGGTAATAGGAAGGTTAATTCAGCCTGCCCCCTATGATGATCACTGATGCTTAACTTAATAGAGAGCAAATATGTGCTGCTTCATTTAACAGATGGCTCTGACTCAGATAGGAGAGCTTTGGGTACTTGAGCAAGTGATTCCGCACTCAGGTTATAATTTCATTAAGGTGAAGCTTCTGGAAGAAAACTAAAGCCGTCCATCAATTAGACTTAAAGTCCTTTTGTTTGGAGATTTTTTGTGTAAAATCCAAAAACCTCATTCTCGTTTATTTACAAGAGTAAGATAACATTTAATGCAGTATTCTTAATGACTGCTAAAAGTTAAAGCGTTATTTTATCATACTATATATATAAAGTCAAAATCAATTTCAATCGAATAAATCTTTTATTTCTTTAAAGAAAAAAGTTAAATTTAAATTTAATATAGAAGCTATTCTGGTTTAATCATGTGGGTGCATTTTCACTGGGAGAAAAATTCAAATCACTTACTTAAGTCAAAGTAGCAATACCACACTAATTATAAGTCCTGCACTCAAATTAAATGTTACTTATAAAAGTGTATAATTAACAAGTATTAACAACTAAATATACTTAAAAGTAGGACTTTATTTGAAGTAAAAAAGTAAAAGCCCCATCAATGTATATTATATTATTACATCATTGCTGCCTTAGTATGTAAACTGTGTTTAATGTTGTACTTGGATGCAGAGGAACTAATTTGAACTGTTTCATACATCATTCATGAACTGTTAGGTAGTTTAATATAATGGTACTTTATATTTTAAAAACTGGTCATGTTTTGCATGTTTAAAATCTTAATTTGAGGAAGTAACTTAATCTGTCACACAAATGTAGTGGAGTAAGTACAATTCCCTCTGAAATGGAGAGGAGTGGAAGTATAAAGTAGCATAAAATGAAAAGTACCTGAAACTTCTTCTTGATTAAATGTATTTTGTTACATTCCACATCTGCTTTAGTGCAAAAACTCAAAATTTCACCACATTGTGAGTTATATTCTCCATTAAATATGTATTACGTTGTACATTACATCACTATGTAACTATGCCTGTTATGTAACATGTTTTGATATTCTATGTATGTCATTCACATCCTGACTGCAGTCCTCACTGTGCAGCTACTGAAGTGTGACTGGAGAACGACGACGGTTTTACCTCTCCAGGAGGTTGTGTATGGCCTTGAACAGGAGAGTCCTGCATTCGTAGGACAGTCCGCACTCCCAGAGTCCCTCCTCAGCCACTGCAAGACAGGAGGACAAAAAAACACAAGGTGATCAAATTATAAATCTTAATATTTTATCATCTCAATAATGAAAATTTGAATGATATTTTCAGTGACAGCAAAACATCTGCACACACCAGCTTGAGGATAATAAACAACACATGATTCAGTGCGGTGCGTTTATGGCTCACTCAGTCAAAACATGCCGCATGTGCTGATGAGAAAACCTGCACATCATATCAGAAATTACACTTGAAGTCGTGTGTGCAAGTCCGTATTTGTGTGTGTGTGTGTGTGTGTGTGTGTGTGTGTGTGTGTGTGTGTGGAGGACACTTGGCTGTACAGCTGTCAGGTTGGCTGCAGCGACAGCCCAGTCAAACCCCATGCAGTTGTCAAGCTCAGTTAGCTGGAGAGTGAAAGTGTGCCTGTATCTGCGCAGGCTGACACACATGCTTGTGTGCTCAGGTTTGTACATGCATACAGAATTTTACTTCGACACTCGTTTTTCCCTCTTCCCTTTGAAATCTAAGAAATCAGCTGCACTTTGCCCGAGCGTCTGACATGTCAGCAGCCGGTTCACGTGCGTGTCAAACGTGTTGTGAAACAATTCTGCACCCCTCTGATTTCTTTAACCCCCTGACCCTACACCCCATCACCAACCCCCACTGCCCTCCTCCCAAAAAGAAAGAACACACACACACACACACACACACACACACACACACACACACACACACACACACAAGAGTGGCGAGTTAACAGTGTTTCTCTTTGTTCTTTGCCATATACCTGCAGGGCTGCTGGAAGAACTGGAGGATTGTGGGTGGGTGTTGTGTTTGCTTATAGGGTGGTGGCAAACAAACCAAGCATCACAGAAATACACAAGGAAAAAAGAATGAGAGACAGAGGCAGATCGCCTGGGGGATGGGTGGCATAAACCCGGGTAGAGGTTTTCTCTTTCCTCTTCTTTCTCCTCCTTCTCTTATTTCTCTTCCCTGTTTTTTTTTTGTTTTTGTTTTTGGCTGTATATTCCTTTCTCCTCCTCGGTTGCTTTGTTGATATTTCCCTCCTGTGTGTGTGTTTTTTTCCCTTCTTCTTCTTCTTCTTCTTCTTCATACCACAGAGAATGAAATTTCCTTACTCGCCAGAATTACCCTGTAACCATGGAAACGCTGGCGGTGAGAACATGGCGCCCTGGCATTCAATTTCAACACTGGTCCCTCCCGCCCCTCACCCTCCTCCTTCTCCTCCTTCCTCTGTTCTATTGCTTCCAACACCCCTCCACCACCACCACCAACCCCCCCCCCCCCCCCCCCCCCCCAACCTCCCCTCCTCATTTACTCCTGCTTCAGGGCTCAGACAGGAAGCTCGCTCTAGCCAGCTCTTCTACAGAGGAGAGAGATAGAGCGAGCACCATGAGCAGAATGCCAAGTCTCCAGCAAATCCAGCTCATTAGCTCTGACTGTCTCTATATCTCCCCCTCTCTCCCGCTCTTCCCCAACTTTTCTTCTCCCCCCATTCTGCCAATCCTCCACAAGCCCATCTTCATTTACTCTCCTCATGACCAGCTCCACAGTTGGCTCCTGACCCTTATTACTCCAAAACTGTGTCACCGACTCCTCAACCTCACATCCTCCCAACACTCCCATTCAAAAGTTGACACAACAGAACCACACATCCCTGAGCAGACGCGACGGAAACTTTTCCACATTTGCTCTCCTAATGATTTTGTAGCTCCTAAAGGAGCAGGTGAAGCGCATTTTACAAACCCCAACAGTGGGAGCAACACACACTTAGACGCCTGGAAACATGCACTCCACGTTAGATGCTCCTGTTTATATTGTAGTTGTCAAAGAGCCAGCTCACTGCACCATATCAACACAAGGTGTGACAAATCACTCTTGCAAGCAAACAAGGTCAGGCATCTACACGCAGCGCGCACACACAGCCACACACAAACGTTATAAATATAGAAAAAGGAGTGCGAAATAAAACAATGATCTGATGTATTAAAGCAGTGATACCCTGTGGGGATGTAGGAGGCATATACTTGGAGGAAACGCCATGAAACTGTCATTTCACCAACAGTCAGTCAGTAACCACTGCAATTTGAGTTTTTACTGCCAGTTAATCAGAGGAAGAACACAGATGGCCCAAGGGAGAAGCGTGCTGGAGACACTAAATGCACAGCTAAGTGCAATAGGGCTTTAAAGCATCATGATCCATCATTCATCACAGCCTGAGCTACAGGGAACTGCATCATGCCTGAAAGATTTTAAAAGGAACTGGATGTAATCAACCTCGGTCTCAATTAGATTAAACTGAAGGCTCATCATTTTTGGGTTTTTACTGAGCCGCACTGATAAATAGCCAGATTTTAAAAAATTAAAAAAAATAAAAAAAAGGCAGATGCATTTAAAATTTATTTTCACCAAGATTTCCTGCCCTACATAGACCGAAATATGATGTTTGATTCCAGCAAAAGAAAGTAAATGGACTGCCTGATTAAGCACCAGACTCCCTCTAAATAAGTTTCAAAAAATATTTAGTTTGAGGGCTGCAACTAATGATGGTTTTCATTATTAATTAATCAATTCATCTTTTAGACTGACATTTTCAGTTTGCTTGTTTTGTCCGACCAACAGCTCAAAACATGACGATATTCAATTTACCGTCGTATCTGTCAAAGCATATATCCTCACATTTGAGAAGCAGATTCCATGTGATACTTTTATCATGTATAGTAAAACAAAAAATACAAAAAAAAAAAAAAAAAGAAAAATACCACAGGCTAAAATATCCTGGGCTTATATCTGTGGTGGTTCACTCAAAAAAAACAGTGTGTACAGATGCGCATGAATGCAGTGTATTTGTGTATGTGCTGTGTCCATGGGTGCTATCAACATGTCAGCGTGAGAGGAACATCAGCAGGTATCAAAACTATCAGGATCGTGACAACCCGTGTTGCAGTGTGAGTAAGTAGTGGTTCCCAAAGTGCCTTAGTGCACATAGGCAAGCCTGACTCTGCATGTGTGTGAGTGTGTACAGTGAGGTAATGGCCTTACAAATGCATGTTTATTTCACGCAACCTTCCTTCCCCCCTCCATCCCCCGTGCCACAATGCTCTTAACTGCTGCGCCACCCCAAACACAAACAAGCAGTGATGGAACTGGGTCGCCACTACCACTCTCTGTATATTTCCACCTCTCTCTCTCTCCGATCCTCTGTGTCTAACCCTGTCCCTCCACCTCTATCCGTTTCTCTCTCTTGTGTCTTCCTCTTTCCCTCTCTCTCATTTTCTCATCCGTCTTTCAATTCCTCTCCCACCTCTTTCTCCTACTGTGCCGGTCTCACACCACTAGGGGGAGTGACCCACTACAATGCTGTGCTAACAAACACAAAGATAGTATTGATCTGAGAGGGAGAGAAGGCGGGAGTTGAGGTGTGACAACACTCTGTCTCGCACACGATGACACCTCTCCACACTTCTCCTTCCTCTTCTTTCTCTCTCCCTCTTTCTTTCTCTCTCTCCCTCTCATTTCTTCATTTGTCCTGGATCGATAGCACCAGCAGACTTGGCGTCCAGTGGTGTCTCTGCAGTGTGCAGGGTATGAGCTCTCACTGGGCAGTGTGTGTGTTTATGTAACATTGTGTGTATGTGTGTGTGACTTCACACAAAACCCCAGTGCCACTTTACTAATTAGCAGCCCTGCTGCATGTCTGAACAGAGGTTGGTCTCTGTTTGCTGTGTGTGTGTGTGTGTGTGTGTGTGTGTGTGTGTGTGCGCGCGCGCATGGAAACATGCCTTAGTAGATTTATGTGCTTTAACTAATAAGAGAGAGCGAGAAAATGATTACAAGGCCGCACAGATGGATAGAAAGGGGAAGCGAAAGAAAGAGGGACCAGGGATAACGATGATGACGATGGTGACATGTCTCCCAATGTGTTGCCGTGTCCGTGGAAGTGGGAGGAGTTATGAGCAAAATTTATATTGTGATAATCATCTGAGCATCATCCTGATTTCAAAATGTTGCATATACATATAAGTTTCAAAATGAAAAAGTCCCTACATGAAAATTTTTCTGAAACATGATCACATGGTAAGACAATAAAATAAATACTGGGGTTGGGACATTTGACCATTCGCGTGCTGGAGCACTCGACACAGACAACACACATAACCAAGTGTGCACACGTCTGTAAATATGCTAGTGTCAGGTAATGCTCTTGCTTCATTTTTACGTGAAGCCGACATGAGTGTGTTAGTGGTTTATGAACAGCCTCAGATGCTGAACGAGGTTTAAAGATGCTGCACAAGAAAATTAAAGAGCCATAAAAGCTGACTCTTTTAAAAACCAAGAACAGGCTGGGCAGTGAGTTTTAGATCAGCACAAAGAAAAGTAATTGTTGCGTCATTGATATTGATCAACGATGCTATCAAACCCTGCATTTATATTATTTTGATTCAATGCCACAGTTCAGTAGGAACGTTACTCGTCAAGCCTTAAAGAAAGGTTCACTTTTGTTTTTAAATTCATTTATTGATTGGCATATTTAGAGAGTGGAGTGGTTCGACTGTTATTAGCTGATCATTCTGATGTTTTGTATCTCATGACATTCGGCAAATATAAAGAGGGAAAATCCCACGGAGAACAGTGTGATATGAAGCGGTCAGGTCGGCTGTAATAAGCAAACTTCTAACAAGGCCAGTTTCTCACTTAACACTCACACGGACATTCGAATCACAAAAAGACCAGCATGGATGGAGACACAAGAAGCCCAGAAGGGGCTACTTATAGACTTTACATATATATAATTAACACTGTTAATACAGCAATAATATGCTGTATTACCCTGGCACTGGGCCAGAGTTAATGCAGCTAGGCCAGAAAACAGGTAGTACTGTTTATCTGAAGTTCATTCATGGAAAGAAGGGGAACAAAAACCATTTGAGCGTGTAGGAAGTTTTGAGGAAGTTTTTGAAATCAGGATGTTAGGAGAACTCTTGTGAGGAGCTT